TGGCTTGGCTTAGGGACCACTTAGTGTAAGTGTTGGGCCTATTAGGAGCCCATGTGATGGGCTTCAGGGGGTTCACTGTCTTTTCAGTGAATTCGGTCAGGCCTTGTAACAGAGGCTAGGCCGAACCCATGTGGCTGATGTGTAGATCAATGCTTGGGTCCCACGCCATACAAAGAAGCCCAATTGGGTAGCAGTTTAAAAGACCTTTTGAGCACATAACTTTATTGGGCCTAAAGCCCATTTCAAACTGGGCTGATTTGATCAGTCATTATTAAGGGGTGAATCTGAGATTAGGATGAGCCCAAAAACTTATCTAATCTGTAGATAGGATTAAGAAGAGTCTTAATCCAAATACAGATTTGGATAAGGGGCAACTCCTGATATGACCAGGAAAACCTTTCTTAATCATTAAGCAAATGGAAGAAACCCTAATCGAATTACAAGAATTCGAACCCTAGGGAGACAGAACACATTCTGTAGTTTTGTGAGATAGGATCTCAGAAACCCTAGAGAAAAGAAAAGCAGTTCGCCATCTATTTCTCTAGCTATCCATCTGTTACAGTTCGTTTTCTCTGTTAGAGAAAGATCAAGAATGGTTCTTGATATCAGTCTTTGTTGAAAGGCTGATTCGGTTTGGTGTTCATTGTCATCCAAAGGATTCTTGTGAAGGATTCAGTGTGTAAGACGCACCCTGCTGGTTTTGTTCCACAGTTGCTGTGTCATCTTCAGCAGGAGCAGATCTTGGTTCCTTCTTTGGGCGTGAACACCAACTTTGGGAGAATTTTTTTCTCTGGATCAGGTATAATTACTCCCTTCACTTTTGGTTCAGATCTGGTTCAGTTCTGGTTCAAGTAGGATCATTGAATCTTGATTCTAAAATTAGGGAATGCGATTCCTAGTTGAAAGGTAGGTAGAAAATTTTTGAAATTCGCCCACCCATTCCACAACTGTTTTGGCGTCCATACGATGGATTCTACCATCCCTTTCAGTCGTGTGGTGGTTTGGGGCTTGAGAGTATTAGGAGAAGGAATTTGACTCTGTTGGGGAAGTGGTTGTGGAGGTTTTCTATGGAAAAGGAGAAGCTATGGGCTAGAATAGTGGCAAGTATACATGGGCTGGAGCACAATGGATGGGACGCTGGAATCAGAGCTAGAACCACAAGCAATTCTCCTTGGAAAGCCATTCATGACCTGCTACCAGTTTTC